AAAAAAAAAAAAAAAAAAAAAAAAAATTATAAAAGAAAAAACAAACAAAGAAATATCAATTATAATAATTCTCTAAAGATGCAGAAAGGTCGCGGAGGCGCAGGACATCTGTTGAACTTAAACACGGTGGTACTATTTATAGATTTGAAACCCTAATAAGTTTCCCATTTTTTTTTTTCTATTTATTTAATTTATTTTTCTGCCTAAACCGAGTCCCAAGAGTTGAAACCGGGTCAAAACCGGTTTACAAACCATTTTAAAATCAAACAACTAAAGTAATATAGTATGATAGGGATGTCAATTTGGCCCGGACCAGACTCGACCTAGCTCCCCGACCTGTAGTTTGGGGTGAGTTGGACGTGCCTTGTTACCAAAACGGGTCAGGGCAGTTCTGCCTCGTTGCACAAACGGGCTAGGTCTGGGGCATAAATGTCGGTCCTTCCCGATCCGTCTCGACCCGCCCCGACCTAGTATAGTCAATATTGTTAGTCAAAATTAGGGTAAATAAGACACATTATTTTCCTACCAACCTTCTCTACTTTCCTTTTTTCTTTTTTCTTCTCCCTACTCTCTTCCATCACACCATTAGGCGTCACTTCCTCCATCATCTAATTATTTTTTTCTCTCTCTCTTTTAATTCTACTTCCACTTCCAGCATACTTTCTTTTTTCTTCTCTCTTTATCCTTTATCTTTTCACTCACATATCTAGCACTCTTTTAATTTCCCTTCGATCAGATTTTTTTCTTTATTTTTTCCTTCTTTATCATTTTATCTTTTCACTCACGTACACACAAATTCAGGGTTGGGGGTTGCTCCATCTGATATGGTTGGGAGGCGGAGGCCGCGAGCCACGACGCGGTTAGGAGACGGCCAATGGTGTCACTTTGGGCAATAGAAGCAACTATTGTGATGATTATTGACAAATAAAGTACGAAGCATACGTCCTGCCACATATATTCCGCGCATTCAGAAATATTATATAAGAGCGACAAGAGAAATGAATTATTTATTTTTTAAGTTCACATTTTAAAATAATAATGTTTTGTCATACATATTTTATTTGCAAATAATTTTGTTTCATTAATTTTTTTTTAGTGTTTATAGAAAATTCTTAATTAATAACAATACTTCATGTCTATTATTCATCGTCTTCATCATTGTGGACCGACTTAATTGTCGGAGTGTTAATGTTGGAAGCTCCTCCCGTACTATTTTGCAGGTCAACAAACGGATCAGAATGTAAATCAGATCGTGGGAGCCGGACAGAGGTTTTTTGCACACAAGGTTGGGTCCATTGAATTTCAATTTCACAATTAATTTGTGGATTTATTTTCATTTAGTGTCATTTGTAAGGCTTAATTATCTAAATAACCAGTTAATTTGCCAACCGTGTGCCCATAAGGTCATGATGTGTTACATATGAGCTTATGAACAGATGAACTATACCGATACTTTTTTTTTTTTGATACAGGGACCTTCCGGTTTTCGGATCCACAGGGGAACCGACTAATCCGGAATCGAGCTGGGTAGGACCACAAGGGCGGCAAAGCTCTCCCTCAAGAATTTTAACACTGCTGCATTCTCAGGGCTCGAACTATACCGATACTTTGAATATGCATTATTGCATAAAGTTGTTTATATTATTGTTATATGTATAAATTCAATTGTAGAACTGATTTCTCATAGTCCCGAAATTAGATAGCCTCCACAAATTTAGTGACAATGGTTCAAAGAATCCAAAAACTACAATATACAAATATATAAAAATAAATAAATAATAAATAAAAAATTAACGAGTATAAGATTAATGCTTATGCATTTTTAATTGAAGGAGTAGGGACTGCAGCTTTGAAAATCAAATCAAAGGCTTTCTGAATGCTGGACTTGAACTTGGGCCCATCAATCAGCCCATTTTCGGTACCAACAGCCACCCTAAGCTCTCCCATATAACTCACCATTGTTATTGTAAGGCTCTGCAAAATTATCAATCCACTGACTTATTACATTGAAAAAACATTAGTTTTTTGGGAAATGCTACGGTACCATCATGTCGATTGTTTTAACCATTGGATCATCTATCTTATCTAACTACATTTGGATCCAACGGTTAAAACACCCGACGGGATGGTACCGTAACGGGACTGTAGCATTTCCCTAGTTTTTTATACCATTTCTCTAAAAAATGGCACGGCCTAAACGTTAGTCGGGTTGGCTCGTTATACTTTTTTCAAATAATAATAAGAATAATAATAGTTAGTACCTGAGGAACGCCCACGACCATGAAGTAAAAGCCATGGACAGGATGGTTGGACAAAGACAGCTTTTCGATTGGCCCCTTTATGTTTGATATTGTCATGCTTGTGTTCTTTAATGTGCTATGAATGTATTTTGCAGTCACCTGACTCATTTTATCCAACCAAATAAACATTTCATTTTCTTATTTATTTATATATGAGAGAGTTCAATAATTAAGTACACATAAGTAAATGTATGGTAGATTCAATTGCACAAATTAACCAATGCTAAGTAGATGAATAACCATTGATGATTCAATAGTACAACATACCTCAGGGCCCCTCCATCTCCTCAAAGTATCGAGCAACTTCCCGGTCAAAACAACAGCTGCCGAGTTTTTCTTCCGTTTGATCACCTTCCGAGCACGAAACACGAACTCAAGAGGGTCGTCTAGGTTCGTGTCGTCTGCAGACAATTTCGGCACGGACACGTGTAGGAAAGCAAATTGGTTGCCCCAAGGGGAGTCGGCCTCGGGCTCCACCATTTCCGAGACCGATCTGTAGCCACCGATGTTTCTTGTGTTGAGAAGAACCAACGAGGTGGCCTCAGCATTCCTCTGCTCGTGCTTAGCGGACTGCATGTAGAGTCTGATCCCCAGGAAAAGGACTCCACATATCACGTCATTTATCGTCTGTATTATCGCTTGCTCAAAAGTTAGTGTTTGTATTTCAGCTAGCTTATCAACTAATTTTACTAAACATTTTTATTATATCAACTACAAATTGTTAGACGGATAATTATTAGTCTTAACTTAGTAAGATTGATAAAAAAAAAAAAAAAAATGGAAAAACGTACCACATGAAGATTGGCCTTGATTTGCTTAATCCTGTCGAGCGAGAAAGACAACGTGGAAATCGTGATCGGCCGGAACTCGACTCCTTGGTCACCCGACCTTATCGGGCTCCGGTCATCCTCAATCATACAGCTCTTCATCAAGCTCCACCCGAAATCCCGAACCGTATCAATCAAGCCGGATAAACCCAGGCACCCTTGTTGGGCCCTATCACGGGCCTTGTTCCGGGCCTCCTCCTTTGTTGGGTTGAAGGACGGGAATGTCAAGGGGATCTCGGGATTGTCGGCCCTCTGGAGACAAGAGAGGAGGGCCCCCATGAGGGAGTAACCGTCACCCAGCGCGTGGTGGAGCTTGAAGACCACGTTGCCGGCGGCGGTTTTTGTGGGGTACTTGAATATGTGAATTTCCCATAATGGCCTGCTTTGGGGCAGCTGCTCTAGGGATATTTTGGACAGGTAGTCGGAGAAGTATTGGTCGTAGAATTCCGGCGGCTGGCCGGCCGGTAAAATCGGGGTCCGGACGTGGTCTTGGAGACTCACCTCAACCTTTTTCCAATGTTTGGTTCCATTTTCGTCTTCCACCTGTTGATGAGATTGTGATTTTTTATTAAAGTAATGGGTAATTTAATAAAAAAAATTAAAAATAATTTAAAATTCTGTATATAGTATTTTTATTATTATATACTAGTAATCACCCGTGCGATGCACGGGGATATAATGAGTCGTGAGTTTTTTAAAAGGCCATTTTATATATAAATTGTGTAATAATGCAATGATCATGATCATAAGAATAGACATATAAACATATAACTAAACTGAAAAGATCATATATTATTGAACACTTTCATATATACAACATTATTGGTTTGATTCTTTGGCACGCCATCTTCGCCAGATTTTCAACCGTTTTCGGTTAGTGACACGGGAGACAACAATATATAATTGGTCATGACTGAACACCGATTTCTTAAGAAATAAGCCAACATGAGATAAGAATTGTCTCTAGTTCTTGTTTATAGTCATGACGTAAGAAACCATAATGGGAAAGTCGCCGCTGGAACTTGAAATGAATTCTAACATCAGAAGGAGTTATGACCATTTTTGGAATTAATACCTTATCACCGGCATGATCTCCTGTGAGCATCTTACATTCAAGAACATGAGTGGATAGTTTTGTCACAACCAATCGTGTCTCATTACACAAACCCATAGAATGATCCTCGCAACAACATGACTGGAGTTCCAATCTTCAAATACAACTCATGGTTCGGTATTTCGGAACACTTGATACTATTCAAAAACTCAGGCGTATGGAGATCAGACAAAAAAAAATTATTAGAATCCGATTTGCACGTACTATCAGAGCTCAAGTACATACGACCATCCAACAAATTCAATGATGTCATGCACTCATCGATAGACTTGAACACATTCAACGTCGGCGCAAATATAACCCTATCCTTCAAATAACTTGGATCGTCAGGCGCCCCCTTATACATTGGATATGTGCTTTCAACGATTTGAGCAATAGGATCATCAAATGGCTGGAGCAAAATATCTTCGGATATGTCTATAAGTGCACATCCATCATTCGACCCCGATAGTTTCATCTATGATGTTGGCTATCCAATATGCAAACCGTGTAAGCTCATCACGTTCATCCGCATTACCAAGTCCTTGAAGACGCATATTTTTCGTAAGCCTAAGCATAGTATAATTCCTCCATATGTCATAAGCATTAATGGCAGAATTGACTATGTCCTGACGGTTACCCTTTGGAATGACATGAAGGAATTTTTGAAAATCTCGGCTTCCCACCAAACGGTTTGTTGAGGTTCAAAGGATCAATTGCTCCCATCAAATGGTTTATTTTAAACTTTTTAAGTGATTATTACTTTTAAGTGATTAATATGATGTCAACTGTTTTGGACATTTTGAATAAATAAGCTAATTGGAAGCATGTATAAATAATGAACACATGGTCTTATTGAACGAACATATTAAGATACAAAATAATTGCGAAAAAAAATTAAAGACAAATATAAGTTAAAAGAACAAAATAAAAGTTTATAAGAGAAGATGACAAAGATATTGAATAATTAGAATATAAAAAGAAAAAAGTTAAACAGAAAAGAAAAAACACAAAAAGAAAATACAAAAGATTTACCTGTAAATAATTATAATTTATCTATATAAATCTATGTAATTTTGAAATTAATTTGTGCATGCGTTTATGAAGGCACACGCCTTTTTTATTTTTTATTTATTTTTTTTTTTTGCAAAATTTATTCTTTTTCACATAGCAGGTGGAATCTCATTCTCCTCCATATTTTTTTGGATCATGAGTTGTCCACAAACTATTGTTCTGATATTCTCTCTACACCATTAATTTTGAATTCAATTTGTGATATTAATCTCTGTGACTTTTTGTTGTTTTCATGCTTTCTATATATAGACTGTGGAAGGTATTATTTATTTGGTCAAAACTTTCTAAAAAGGATTTAAACAACAACCTTTTTATATATAGATAGATAATATACATAAAAGTAATAAAAATAAACTAGTTATCATCTTGTGCACATGCACATATGTACATAAAATATTGTAAGTAATATGTGTGAATTTAATATTAAAATTATAGATGATAAACATATCACATTTTCAAAATATGTGAATTTAATATTAAAATTCTAGATAAAGGACATACCAATTTTTTAAGATTTAATCATTAGTAAAAATAAAATTATATTTATATAAATTATTTGAGTACATATGAATCACTATATTGATTAAAAAAAATTGTGGGTAATGTAATTTTTATAATTTGGATGGATCATGATCAAATAATTTACTTGAAAACTTTATTATTATTATTATTATTATTATTATTATTATTATTATTATTATTATTATAATAATTATTATTATTATTTCTATTCTTATTTGATTTTAAATTTTTTTTACTATACTATTAAAACTATTTACTAATTGTTTCTAAAGAAAATTATTTCATGAAATACAAAATTAAAATAATAATAATAATAATAATATCATTCATAAAACCTAATTAAGAGTAATCATGTATTTATAAACCTTAATTAATAAAACCTCATTTATTTTTCCTCCAAAAGAAGTTACAAAATTTATCATTCATATTTTGTCTTTTACATTAATACACCCTATTAAGTGTAATCATGTATATTTTTGCTATTATATTATATAATAGTTAATGCTATTACAACTCATAATATTTCACACTAAATATAAATTACATAAGTATAAACAATATTATTATTTTAAGATAGTTATTATTATTATTATTATTATTATTATTATTATTATTATTATTATTATTATTATTATTATTATTATTATAGTAGTTAATGCTATTTTTTTGCTATTATATTATATAATAGTTAATGCTATTAATTTTTTACATGATTACACTTAATATGGGTGTATTAATGTGAAAGGCAAAATATAAATGACAAATTTTGTAACTTATTTTGGAGGGAAAATAAATGAGGTTTTATTAATTAGGTTTTATTTATGAGGTTTTATTTAATGATTAGCTAGCAATTATATATATATATATAGATATCTTTATGAAAATTTTATACATGAAAATTACTAATATTATATTATAATAAATTTTTACCACACAAATATATATACATAATTTAAATTTTAAAAATATAAATATTTCAAAAGTAAAAATAAAATATATTGTGATAGTGTCGGGTTGACGTTGACCTAGCCAGATGATGTCCAGGTCAAGGTCAGGTTTGTTGTAATTAGATTCGAAGCACCCATCTGGATCGATCCCAACTCCAGATCCTCGACCCGTCAATCCGGTTCGGTGGAAAACACTGCTTCTATATCCTTATTAAATTAAATTTATAGTTATATTTGATAAATTGATATTTTATTAAATCTTTTTACCAAATTAGCAATATTTGCATCTCCTTATTAACTTGTCTATTTGTCCTTTAACTGATTTCACAATTGTATCCTCATTAAATTAAATTTATATTTAATTATTAAGGACAACATTGATAAATTATATTGACATTTTATTGTTATATGTCCTTTTACCAACCTAGATGACACGGGCTTTTGTCTACAACATTATTACTAGTACAACGCCCGTGTATTACACGGGTGCTTGCTAATTTTTTCTTTAAAATCTAAAATTAATGAGAAAATAGTTGAAAATTTAAAACATTTTATAAAATATATATATTATTGTATATTAAGTATGAAACTTATTATTTGTACGACTTACATGTGTTATATTGTAATAATTTTTATAACTTACAACATATAACTGCATTAAACATCAATTGAGAAATAATTTTATTTTTCTAATGAATTTTAATAAATATTATTATTTTTTATTATTATAAAGATGAATATAATTTATTTATTTCATATATACAATATGGATGTCAAATCGAACACCATCAAAAGGTGATTAATTTGATATATTATATATGTAAAACCGATAAGAAATACAAAAGTTATCAACTTTTAAAATACATTTACAATTCAGTAGCTAATTGAAGGAAACAAATCAAAAGTCAGGGATATATTAGTCACTTAGTGACTCACTATTGTATTAAAGGGTTATATTAGTACAAATGATATTAAAATACCTAAGTTAGCTAAATAATATTTATAGAATGTCCTAACATAGATTATTAATTATTAATAGATTATTATTATTTGTCCAAACCTGATTACGAAGCATGATTCTTTGTCAAGTAGGATTTCGAAGCACCAGAAGCAACCACGTAAGCTCAGGGCATTCGGGAATTATACGGGATATGGTAGGCCATCATTAATTCATTATTCTCGAACATGTAAATAAACTTATAAAGTAATAATATATACTTCCTCTTTTAGCTAATCTTGTATATTGAAAATTCCAAAATTAATATTTTAATTTTATCTCATACAAATTCATTGACTTTCTGATTTTCGGATTCACAGGGAATAAAATTAGAATTTGTATTCATTGTATATATGAGATAATATTTTAATATTTAATTAGATAATATCTCATACAATGAGATAAAATTAGAATACAAATTAGAATTTGTATTCATTGTATGAGATATTTTAATATTATCTAATTAAGTACAATATTCATTGTATGAGATAATATTTTAATTTTATCTCATACAAATTCTAATTAATTTTTTGGTACAGGGATCTTCCGGTTTTCGGATCCACAGGGAAACCGACTAATCCGGAATCGAGCCGGGTAAGACCACAAAGGCGGCAAAATTTTCCCTCAAGAGTTTTAACACTGCTGCATTCCCAAGGCTCGAACACGAGACCACTGGTTAAACTGGAAGAGATCCAAACCATCACATCCAAGGTGTAAGTAAGTGAATTCGAGAAGATACATCAATATGTTAGGCAAGTCAAATTATACCGATTTTTTGAATACCTAATTATCCGGATAAACTTTATATTAAATGAAGATTATATGTTAAAGGCAGCAAAATTAAAATTAGTTTTAAATAATTCCAGATTTAGTATGATTGAATTAATTTTTAGACGAGATAGATATGTCTTTTCTTTATTGTATTGCTTACTTTAATGCAATATCTTGTCTCGTGCCACATGCTATTGCATTAAAATTGGGCAGGCTACAAATAAAATAAAATTATATAAAAAATAAAAACAAAAATAAAAATAAAAATTTGGGCAGGCTGATCAGCTGTCCAATTATATATACTTGTTAAATAATTGTGCGTGGAGGTAATTAAAAAAGATGTAAAATCACGTGATATTGTTGTGTCACCTACAAACTGATTTATGCTACCAGTCTTACAAATCAACTAGTACGAATCCCGTGCGATGCACGGAAATAGATATTTTTTAATATTTATTAATTAAAAAATTCTCATTAAATAATATTATAAATATAAAATAGAGTCAATATGCAGTACAATGTACTATATTATTTTAATAAAAATATTATATAAAATTTAAATGGTGCAAAATTACATAAAAATATCTATTTAAAATTAGTACGCAACCCGCGCCTTGCACATAACTGATATTATATTACATTATATTCATTTCAAAATATGTATCATTTCAAAAAATTTATTCAGAAATTCGATTTGACTATAACGTGATTCCAAAAATAATTATTTTCATAAAATTTTATCATATATTTAAAAAACTATGTGAATAATAAGTATAAATATAAAACTTATATTGTTTCATTAACTAATATGAATTTATCTTTGTATAAAATATTCAAATCAAAATATTTAAGTAATTGAGTAGAAACAATCAGTCACGGGTTTTCTTATGCCAAAAAAATCGACACTTCTTATCATGTTATAACAAATGAACTGTGTACTTCACACAAAAATTATTTGAAATGTCTTCATACAAAATGAATTAAATCGAGACCCATTAATTATAAAAAAAATGATCATAGCTTATTTTATAAAAGAAACATCGATACACGCACATTATATCAATATATCTGTTCATATCATTTTGTCGGAGTTCCGGTAATTTTATTATGTTAATTTCATATGAAAAATTGAAACTCACGCCTAAAATCAATATATTGGCCTGCTCATTACAGCAAAAAAGTACACTGTATTTTGATTAATTTTTCGAAAAACTTCGTACAAAAAAACAGTCATCAAATAACATGAATAAATTTGCTAATTTTATATCATATATTGATTTTTATTTTCTATAGAAATGATCATCAATATAAAAAATAAATTCGCCCATTTTATACCATATATTATTTCATATGATTTGAATAATTAAGGTATCTCAAAAGCTGGCTTAATTATTTCCTTAAATAATGAGCCGCAATTTCCAGATCATTTGATATATACCATACATTGTTAAATTAATTTTTTGAAATAGTAAATAAATTTTTTTTGGAGGAAAATAATTACTATCTAAAAAATAATCAAACCTTTTTACATATGTATAGATTAGCATGAATTTAAAACACATAACGCGGAAATTGATCTTTTTAAAAAACACATAAAGTTAACCTAATAAAAATTTTAATATCAAAACAATTAACATGCCTAAAAAAAACACTAACATGTTTGATGCATTAAAAAATAGGCCGAATAACACCTATTATGTTTCTTAAAATAAATAGTCCAGCAAATATTAAAACAACACATATTCGTATAATAGATAAAAACATTGATATTTATCCATACATTAACAACACCTTTTAGCCCGTATAATAGAAAAATATTTATTAATACATACATAACAACACTTATATAGGGATTTAAATCGGAATGATAAAGGAGAATATATTCTGAATATGGAAAATTTTGATTAGATAAATATTGACATATTTAGGACAATTTTATTTCCAAGTTTTAGAAAAATTCAAACAAATTTTGTAGAGGCGGGATATTTTAAATTTTTGCTTAAAGTTTTACTATAAGTAGTAATTGTGAAATTTTAGGCGGGAAACATATGATTTTTAGTTGCTATTATAAGTAAATGTCAAACCTTTTTATATATTTATAGATTACTAATAACAAATAGTTACAATCAAACACTAATTAAAATTTTTGGTTTTGTTTGCATTTTTTTGGTTTGGTTAGATTAGTTTTGAAAAAAAGTTATATGATTAGTTGTTAGTGTGTATATTAAAATAATATTTAAAATACAATAATTAAAACTGATGTGATGTAAAAATATGAGAGATATGATTTGAAGTGATTGTGAATTAAGATTGATGTGGTATGTATGAAATATTGATATTATTGTGATAGTGAGATTTGATTAAAGTTGAATTAAAAAAAAAAAAGTGCTTAATTTAAAATGTTGATTTTATTTTTTAATGCGTGATATATTTATGAAATTTATATTAATACTTCAAATTTTATTTCATATATACTTTTTTTTTTAATTATATATGAGTCTAGCTAGATTATTCGATTCAAGTACTTCATGTTTAAACTCGTGTATATTTAATAAACGAGTTGTCATGACACAACTCGTTTAATAAACAAACAAAAATGTGAGCCGGAGTTCACATCGTTTAAACTCGGTTTGACTCATTTAATAAACCTTAAATCTAGACTAAAACTCAAAATTCTAACCGAATCATCGATTGCGAACACATTCAACTCGACTTGTTTGATAGAAAAACTCACTTAGTTGTTTGACGTTAGCTCGTTTGAATATAAAATTGAGTTGAGTTTGATATTCCAAAAGTCGAATTGAACTATGTTACCGGTGTTGCTGTTAAATTAAACGAGTATGACTCGACTTGTTAAGGCTCGAGTTCGGTTTGGCTCATTTGTTAAAGGAGTCAAGCTCAAGCTCATTTGATAAATGAGCTGAGCTCGGTTCGATAAGGCGCGTTAAGGCTCGAAAAGATAATTTAATATAATTTTTTTTTAGTTCGGCTCGTTAAAACTCAAGATCGACTTGTTAGTAATGATAAACGAGGCGAGTTCGGGGTCGATTTTAGGCTTGTTTATTTAACGAGTCGAGCTCGGCTCTACTTGTTTATAGACCTAATTACCGAACATTTCGATTTGTACAATTTTACAGCCTAGGGTGAAAAAAAAAA